GTCAACAAGCCATGCTGCCTGTCTCCACTCCAGGGAATGGACTCAGCAGCCTCTTCTGGCCAGCTGATAAAGACGAGTAACAGAAAAGCTCTGCCTCTACATGTGAGACTGCAGTTCCAGCTCTCCCTGGGAGCAACCCAGGAAAACCTACCAAAGAGCCATTTTCCCTTTTCAAAGTCTCCTAAAATTAACATTTGTCTTCATTTATTATTCATTTAGCTATATTCTTATACAAGACTTTTACCTCCAGGTTCTGAGAGGCTGAATACATTCTTTGTCACGTTTTACTAAACCAGATTAGAGTCTGTTTAAAAGGACTCTGTTTTTAAGTTCTCCCTCCCCACCTGCAGTTCCCCTGCAGCTTCACAGGTGCTAATGGGGCGAAGCACAAAATCAAGAAACCCCCTGTAGGTGCGTTCAGCTCAGTGCTATCTCAGCTAATTCTCACCATTATAGGGAAATGTCACCATTAGGGGAATTTTCTTAAAATACTTTTTTTTTGGAGAAATTTTGCAGCAGCTGCAGGTGCATGGATAGTTTGTGAACAATGAGTGCCTTAATGTTAGGCGTTGCAATAAAATCCTGGTGTACTGGTGAGGTTACTGTCTCCTCATTACTCTGACTTCACCAGCCGCCTTAGAGGAAAATAATTTGAGCATGCCTCCTGCTACAGAAATAGCCTGGGCCACTTTCCTTTATCAAAGACCACGGCAGACACCATGACTCAGTTTGAGCTGCTAAAAAGGAAGATGTACATAAACCATGTTAACTGCTTTCTTCAGATGCTACAAATGGCACCTAGTGCTGTTCTCTCACAAACAGTCGCAAGCTCCTGTTTTGATCTACAGCGATCAACCTTCACCATCTTCATGGCTGAGTTAAATTCATCAGGAATAAACACCAGGCCTGTTTTCTCCCCTGCTCGTGAGCTAAGGGATCTCATTATTTTCAGAATATTCATTAGGCTCTCTACTTACTCTAAAAATAGTAGGGTTTTTTTCACAGCCGAGTGACTAGTGGGCAGCAGATTCATGCATTTATCTGTTCCACAATACAAGATCTGATAACTACATGTACTCAGACACAGTGTCTTCAAGAGACAGTTGCCATAAATAGACTCCACCTTACAGTATTTGACATTGTCAAAGCACTGGTTAACATTCACTAATAGCAATTACCTAATTCATCTTCAGGGCAACCCTGTGAGCTAGGTAAAACTGATATAATTAACGCATGAGTAAAATGAGATTTAGGAGTTAAGTCAGTTGCCTGGGCAGAGGCCTTCATGGTCTAGTGGATTAGACATCTGTCTCTCCAACCAAAGAAGTTGAGTCTAATCCTTTTTCTGACATTGATTTGCTGTGTGACCTTATGGAAAGTCAATTAACTTCTCTGCCTCAGCTGCCCTAGAGATAATGATGCTTACCTACCCGGTGACACATGGGTGTTTGGAAACTGTACTAAACGATACTTTAATGTACTCTTAAGGCCTATCAGTGGACGAGGTGAAACTTTAAAGCTTCCTAGCTTTAATGTCCTTGCTGTCTTGTCTAATTCCTCCTCCCCACACCAGAAATAGCTTGGGGGTAAGGAGGAATTTCTTAGGCTAAGAAGCTCCTAGCAAAACTGTGGCTGACATCAGGAAATTTCATCAGATCCTGTTTGACCAGCAAATTTATTTAGAGTACGGGTCAGCACTAGAATTGCACTGGAAAGTTTATTTTAAACTCAGCCATGGAAGAAGCCAGCATCCTTCCCATGCTACCATGAGGTAATGAACAGACTGCCACGGGTATCTCCACCGCGTGCTCCTGATTCAGAGGCAGCGGAGCCTGGTTGCAGAGACCCTAGAGCCTGATGGCCAGTTCCCTTGTACCTCTAAATGAGGTTGCTGTGGGATGCTTTCTACAGGTGGCCTTATCGCTAGCAGGGGTGCAAGCCTGGAGGGAGACTACCCGTGTACACGTACCTCCTGCAGCAGATCCACCTGATCTTGCCACCTCTGAGCGCCGGGGCATTGTACTTAAGAGGAGGACAACTATAACCTGCTCTGTTCAGTTCATCAGAAGCCATGCTTGAACTTCTGTCCTCTCGCCAGCATAGCTTTTCATGACGTGCCACAGGGCATTAAGAAGTATTACTTCTGTAGCTGGTATTTGAACTGCCCGGCACGTTATCTCAGCTGGTGGTGTGTGCATGTAACTTGATATCCCTTTTCCCATATTCGACCTTGCTTTTAATTATTTCTACAAAATAGTTCTACATATAACGCTGCCTAGGCCTGTAAAATCTCCCACAGCTCTAATACAGCAAGAAACCACTCAAACGGGACAGAAGAATTTACCTTTTACATTCACCTTTATTTCTGTGAGCAAGATTAACGTTCCTTCTTTTTAATACTGAAGGAAGTGTCAGGTGCTTTTTTCCCTTTTGCTTGCTGAATTATAGCAAGTGCGGTGAACGCTCATGCAGCCAGAAAAATAATAACCCGCTCCTGCCTCTGATGCGGCACCGACCGCTTCTTGGCATCATCCCTTCTGCTGCCGATCCGCCCGTGCGCCGGCTGCGTCGCTTGGCCGCCCCGCTCTGCCCACCCTCTGACCAGTTAGCGCTCATCTCTTCTCCACCCTCCCAGCTCTACCGATAATGTGTTTAACATTTACTTTGATGCTATTCCTTGAGGCTTTGCAAAATCTTTCTTGGAAAGAAGACCATTAAAAAGAAACCCTCTGGGGAAAGACAGGGAGGAAAGCTAAAGCAGAAAGGGCATGTGCTTGTGTGTAATACACCCCTGTAGGCTCTGTCTCGCTGCAAGCCTGAAGATGACTTAATGCAAACCCGTACTGCTGTAAATAGGGAATAAATATTGTATTCTCCTAAAATACATCTGGGCTAATTCAATAAACCCTGACTTATTGGCTGCTACTTGTGCAAACATCTGCATATTAAATCCCAATAAATTACTAATGAGCTGTCAGATCAGTAATACAGATATTCCCAAGGCTGAAAGGCTGTCTATAGCTTGCCTCTATATATTTACTTTCCGCAGAGGCTACCGGTGTGGACTAGCACAGGCCAAATGGCTTCATGTCTATGCATTGTGGAAGAACTTAAAGGCGACTTGTAGTAGCTTATAAAATATACTCTGGGATGTATACCGAGTGTGGCAAGGAGCACGAACTAAAACCGTATTCAGCCCTCACATGCCTAAACACTTTTCAGTGTTGGTTTTTCCCCTGGTTAAAATTACCTGTGTGCTGATAGGTGATGAATATGTAACACATTTCACACAAGCAGAATATGTAACTGCATTCAGACAGATTGCTGGGTTCTTTTCAATGCTGTTGAAGACTGTACTCCTTCTAAGTGTTTGTAGCTTACCTAGTAATGTTATCTCCTGCACTTGAATGGTTTTGGGTTTGTTTTTTGTCTTAGTATATGGAGAGTTAGAACCTGTACCTTACTGCACCTAATCTACTAATCCATTGAAGTACTCACTTAACGTCAAGGTTGAGTGTCAGATCTCTGCTGCATCAGGCTCCTTGTTTAAGTATGTAGCTTTTAGTTTTATATTGCGCATTTTTTGCAAGATTTCATAAAACTACCCGACACCCCAGTTCTATAATCTGCACTAGAGACCAACAGATGTGACTTTAACTTTATCTATCAATACAGTAAAGAATATGTAATACCAGGAAGGGCAGCTTACTTTTCATCTTAATTCTTTCCAGCAGCTTTTGTTTAACCCTATATACAATGACAGTTTCCTGTGAGATGTCTTCCCATTTTTAAGTTTAGAATGAAACAGAATGCATTTTTTTTTTTAAGTTGAGTGTAAAGGTGTACAGACCTTCAAATTTATATTGGCTTTGCTGTAAATTAATGTGGCTGAAGTAAACAGACACATTTGAACTGGCAGTGACCTTGTAAAATACTGGTGGCTATTCGGATGAAACTGGGTCTATCTGGATTGGAAGAGGGAAGGGAAATCAGTTCATCTTAAGTTTGGTAATTTGGAAATCGTTACTGTAAACAGTGTTTTTACTTCTTAGTATGATCACTAGAAGACAATGCATAGCCAGTATTAAACCAGGGCAGATACAGATGATAAAGGCAAAGCTTAATCTTGCTAGGATTAGTGACTCTAAAATGATACAATTCAAAAAACATTGAAAAATGCTGAAGTTAGGTGGCTTCGGGGACTAGCAAAATGCCTTCCCTGGTAATTTTCAAAAGTCTTTAGAGACACTGATTGCACCTGGAACCTCTGACTTGATTACCAAAATAAAAATTGTCTACTGTAGTAGCCTCATCTGTACTTTAATTAAGAGCTTTGTATTTAAATATAACCATCTGATCTCCTGAGGTTATTTTTAAAGTAAGCTTCTGGCAAGGCAGCAGTGTGGTGGATTAGAGGCTTGGAATTGAGGAAAAAGCATCGTTCACCATACAGTTTAGAATAATGTCTGCATATATACAAATACATGTGTATACAACATCATGTAACAAGATATAGGACTGGATTTATTAAGGCCAAATGGAAAGATATTTCCTCTTTTAATATTCTAGATCTCTTTTAATATATGCGATGTTGAGATATTGCACTGCAGTCTGATTCATGTAAATACCACAGTAGCGCATCGATCTGATACTGTCCAATGAAAGCTCCATTTTTCTACAAATATAAAACCAAGTTATCAACTTCTCTGTCGGCATCTGCTACTCCGTCTAACAGTGACTGTTACACTTGATGTGGGTACATAAGACACATCACCCAGCAGCTCACCGTTTATCACAGAGCACACAAGCATGAGCCAAAAGGCAGCAGCGCCAGATAAAGCACTGCAAAGGAGCAGCAGGGTAGCAGCAGGGGTGCTAATGAGCAACGTTAAGAGGGAAGGGGTGGGGAAAGGGCAAAACTATTTGTACAAGACACGCCAGGAACCTGAAAGCCAGATAACAACAGATTTTTCCAGCTCTTATTTCAGAAGAGAACTTACAGCTTCCAAATTTTAATGGGCAAGCATGAGCATCCATGGGGAAATCTTCAAGCTGCATGGGACATTCAGCAGAGATGGTCAATCTGTGAGGGGGTAAAAAGAAAACACATCATTTTTTTTCTGTGCCTTCCCTTTAGGCCTCTCACTGCAATACATGAATGCTGACACAAGCAAGCTTTTCCTGAAGGCTCCTCGCTCCTGCCGAAATCACAGCAACCCCCAGTTAAACTGAATGCGAGATAAGCCAGGTGGACCACTGTGTGTGCATGCTGTAGGCCTTATCTAGTAACGCTGAGACACGTGAACTGATTTTATTTATGTAAGCTGTTCCAGTAAGATCATTCTTTCTTATTCGTACATGAACGAACTCCTGCGCTGGAGCTTCTGCCATGCACCTTATTCTTATATGCCTTCTGTAGATACTGCAACTGGACTGGGAATTTGAGTGCTGAGTACAGCACCGTTACAGACATAAAGAAGCGCTGACTTTATATATAGATGTAACTATTTAAATACATAAAACCAAATATTTTAAATAAATAAATGTATATGAAAGTATTTATATCTATATATATAAAGTCAATGACATATTGAGCAACCTGGTCTAGTGTGAGGTGTCCCTGCCTATAGCAGGGGGGTTGGAACTCAATGATCTTCAAGGTCCCTTCCAACCTAAATCATTCTATGATTCTATATATACATATGACTTTAAATAGCACTACAGTTAGTTTCTGTGGAAATCACATGGCATTGGGGCAGTCTATTTCAGTTCAACACACTGTGACTTACCTGGGCACCCTGTCAGGAAAAAACAACAGGGTTATTTTCCCCCACTGTATTGTCCAGGGAAACGATTCTACCCTGGACCACCCTGCCACTACGTGGAAATCCTTGAGCTATAGTGGAAATGGACATATCCCATGGATGTTCTGTATGACTGACAGATCACGCTGAACACAAAGAAAAGTCTGAGGTAAACTTCTGAGCAGTGCACTATCAGTTGTATTGCTGTCAAATATATCAAGAGAGCCAAAGCTTACTTTTCTAGGTACACGCAGCACATAGCACAGTGAGAATCTGGTTTTGATTAGGGCATTCTGATATTTGCATAATACAGATGGTTTGCTCAGGATAGTGAGGATGCAAATATCATTTTACATTATGAATGCCCTTATGCCTTTCTTGTTTTATGCTGCTTTTCTGCCTCAGAGGCATCAGACCAGAGATACCCAAAGCCTCACAGACTGCCCGGTGCTGGGGTGGCAAAAGGCTCTACTGGAGGGCAGCCTGGTTCCCCACCAAACTGCTGTCTGGGGGGCAAAAATCTGCAAAGAAATCCAAAACATGCTACCACCAGAACGCAAAAGTACCCTTTCCTATCACAACAGCCGCACGTAGCCATACTCCCCAGCTATATATACTCACCTCTTCATATTAGCACACCAAAGTGAGTATTCTTGCTACAAGAACTTCTATCCAAAGGGATCGTAAAGGGTAACAATCTGTCCGTGTACAGATGGCACAGCGCTCAGCCAGTCCAATTCAATGCAACACAATGATGCCTTGCCGGGGCACTCCAGCTACATGGACAATAAATTGGGGGAAACAGCTCCGCTCTCTGCCAACGCACAGAAATTTGGAGCTTTACCAATAGCTGGAAATGGCAAAATAAGCACAGAGAAATGCAATAGCATCGTTGGCTAGAGATTGTATCATGGTGAGCTGGGAAACAGGGAGGGAAAAAGGCGAAGTGCAAACAGTAATAGAAAATGTAAAGGTAATACACCATATAAAGTAAAACTAAAAAAAATCCAGTTTAGAACAGAGATAATGTATCATTTGGTAAGAACAGACAGGAAGTCTACAATATAGAAAAGAAATTACTGAGGCCTGAGATACCTGCCCTTAGGCAAAACTGATCTTGGGAGTGTATTTTTTGTAAAAGAAATTTTAAAATTGCTAAAACACAGAGTTGTCTGCAGCGGAGACTGCCCTTGGGCACTAAAGCCAGCAAAGCCACAGTCACTGACAGCGCTACATGGATGAATTTAACAAGCTGGTTCTAGTAGCATCCTGCTCAGAACCTGCATCCTTTTCATAAAAATCACTCTAATGGGTACTTGAAAGCAAGGCTGCCATCCCTCTATGCGTCATTGTATTTTCTGCACTAAGTACTGCAAATTTAATTTTCCTGATAAATTCAGAAACCTTGCTCCAAGTGCCATAAGAAAGCTGGCGTGTTTTACTGCAGTCCATTCTCCTGTCTCTTTGTCTACCAACAGTTCAAGTATGTTGTTTCAAAGGCTGCAGCTTGACAACATTTTAATACACATAGTTGTCATCTGCAAACACCAAAGGAGGGGATCCCTGCATCCATCTTACCGAGATAGCAGCTGTGGAATCAGGAAGAGAAGGAAGATTTAATGCAGAATTATGAATAAGACCTTCTGTTTCATCTGATTGTCCTATGAATTGTATCCTGCTGCCTGCACCTCCAGAAAGTGTGTTCTGCACTTCCAGGGTAGCGGAGAGATGATAGCTTTGCTCAGTCTCCCAGCTCTTTTCCCACCAGTAGGAGCAGATGCTCCTTGCCTTAAGGGAAATCACGGGAACAGTGAGGTGATCCCTGCAGCCCCCTAAAACAGGCTCTTGCGGGACAAAGTGCCTTGTGCTCTCCTTGCAGCACACTTGCTGCAGATGTCTGGCTCCCCAAAAATCTGCATTTATTTCCTCACAACACCCCTTGCGTGTAATGAGGAAGGCTATAGACATTCCTCAGCTGTAAATGTGGAGGAGAAGTGAAGATGAGGTGCAGAGAGGCCATGACCTAGTGGAATTTAATTAAGTCCCTCCAGAAATTATTTTTGCCTTTCTTAAATGAAAGGGTAGCACATAAGGCTGGAGGGCACCTGGCTGCCGCTACCCGTGTCAGAAGCCATAATGACCCTCGTGGTGCCATGGCTGCTCCTGTGCCCCCTCTGAACTCCTCATCTAGCAAAAGGCAGCACATCCCTTCGAAGGATGGTGCCTGGTGCAGACTTCTGGGTCTAACACAGAGGTAGGGAGAACTTAGTTTAGCAGCTGCAAATGTGCTCATGTACAGCCTTTCCTTTCGTTAACATGAATTCTCTGGATGAAGAAGCTCCTTTTGCTCGTTATCAATGATACCTACATGCTTCTTTCCTTTAACTGTGCCTCCATCCTAGGGCCACTCCTAGTCTGGCCATCTCGAACAAGTGAACTGGCTATACCTATTTGTTACATGCTATTCTTAAAAGTATGTAGCTGAGCCTCCTATGTAAATTTAAAATGCTCAGTGAATACTCTCCTAGCTACCTCTTACAAAGCGTGCATCAGCTGAGGCATGTGAAGCGTCTTGTAATGGCCAACGCAACAGAAGACTTGACCGTGGGTTCCGATACACCGCATAAATGTCCATACCCTGAATTTCTGCAGAGCGCTCTGTGCCCAACAGGAGCTGTTTTTCATTACTGGGTGAGGGCCTGAAAAACAGAGTCACTAAATTGACTCCTGGTTCGAAGAGACTGGATTTTCTACTGCACGCAGGAAAAAAAAGCAGCACAGCAGCCGTCTCGCACTCTGGGGGCTGGAAGCATAGGTCACTGCATACTGATTTCCTCCTAGGTGCAGAGCACAAGCTACATATTCACATCGTAGCTCCAGGAGTCACAAAAGAAATTGATATCTGGGTCTGCTCCTTCAAATATCACCTGGGGTGATATTTGCACACTTTGGATTTTAACATTGTCTTAAAGCTTAGGTACCCTTTGCATACCCTAGTTTACACAGCTGATTATAACAAAATTACTCCCAGTTTGCATTTAGTGAAAGAAGAGAAAGGAGGCTTTGGCATGCGTATATGAAACAGCCTTTGCCTAATCCTTTTAACATGGTGACTCCAGAAGGATCTTGCTGTGCTCACTGCAGCACAGTTATCTCAGCTAGAGACAGTCTCCAAACCAGGATTTTTCTGTCACAGCACAAGCACTGTTCAAACTGCAGTTCTTTCCACCAGAAGCATTTAAAAGCTTCCCTCCTCCGCCATCATTCCATCTTAATAAAAGCCCTATGGGATTAGTTTCACTCAAACAGAGTTTCTGACAAGATTATAAGTGGCTGTTAAAGGTCCTTCACAATGGGAGGATGAAACTCTGATTTTATTGAAGTTAATGGTAAAATTCTCCCTGACTTCAATGGAGCCAGTATTCACCCAAAATACGTAACAAACCCTGGTTACAGCTGCTGATTTATTATTAACGACAAAATCTCACTTTCATAATGCTCCAAATACTTACACTGCTATCCAAACGTTAATCAACCAACAAAATGCTACAGCACACCTTAACTATCTGAAAAAAAAAAGAAGTTAGGTCTACAAATTATTTCACTTATCATCCATAATTGTACATGAAAGTTTCATCAAAGCTTCATTATGTATAGCCTTTACTTTAAGAACATAAAGTGATTACTGATGTTCTGTTTCAACAAAATATAGACACGTAAGTGAATACCCATCTAAGAAAAGCACAGCAATTCAAGCAGCAAGTCTTCTTCACTCCAGAAAAGTCACCTTCAACCGCTTCCCACTGGAGAATTAAGTAAGCCGATGCTTTCAAGAGGCCGTTACTTTTTAACAGTGGGGGGAGAAGGAGGTGTTAAAGTCAAGGATGCGGTGAGGAAATAAATGCAGATGTTTGGGAGCCAGACATCTGCAGCAAGTGTGCTGCAAGGAGAGCACAAGGCACTTTGTCCCGCAAGAGCCTGTTTTAGGGGGCTGCAGGGATCACCTCACTGTTCCCGTGATTTCCCTTAAGGCAAGGAGCATCTGCTCCTACTGGTGGGAAAAGAGCTGGGAGACTGAGCAAAGCTATCATCTCTCCGCTACCCTGGAAGTGCAGAACACACTTTCTGGAGTATTATCTGCAGCTGCCAGGCAGGAGGTGAGGGCAGTCACCTGCCCTGGGAGCCAAGAGCCAGCCGCAGAAACCACGCTTTCTTATCAGCTACTAGCTTGAGTATGCAAACAAATTAAAACAGAGAGCTTTAGAAGGAGAGGGGAGCA